CGATGCGAAAGCGACCCGCCCCTTTGACGAAAAAACTGCCAATGTCACCGCTGCCATGCGATTAGACGTCGGTTCGTCAAGGGTTAGAAGAGGCAGCTTCAATAAACAACTGGACAGAATTGGGGGGCCGGTGTGTAAAAAATGTCCTAGGCCATTGTCAACCCTGTCAGATAGTGGGAACACTTCATCCGCTATGACATCATAAACAAATTGGTCTCAGTACCATATGCTTCTCTTTGCGCGTTGCACCACAGCGGTTCCGTGTTAGACTGACGAGAGGCTGCCAAGAACCGCAGGTGAAAACATCCTCGGCTTCCAAGAGATACGATAGCGGAAGAAAATGAATGGCCTTTAGAAAGATAGGTAATTCGGTTTAACCAGGAAGAGGAAAAGGCTCGAAGAATGTAGGAAGAATTAGACTTGTAGTTAGCGAAAGCTTACCTGAAAAATCATCTCCAGTCTTGCCAATTCCCAACATTGAGCCTGCTATGCCTCAAAATAAAAAAAGAGGACGTCCGACATAAGTATAGCCGACTAGGAAGAAGTTGAATTCTCTCAAGAACCGGAACAGCTACTGGTCCCAAAGTTCGATTAAACCATCATCATGTTAGACAGCAAGGACGGACGATGGACAAATGAAAAGTTCATTGATAGCTAAGCCACTTGATAGCGAAATGAACAAGGAGATCTGCTAGTTGCAATAGCAGAAACAAAAACATTGGCAACATGTGATTTAGTAAGAAACCCAGCAAGATGTGGATATCATCACGCCCAACCGACCGAAGGAGATCGGTTTACTCTTGTTCGATATACATAGCATTAGTGCCATTATTTTAAATCGACAGTGACCGCAGATTGACGCTGACCAAGATTCGAGGAGAAAACAGCGCGCAGATGGCGAATCGTATGAAGATGACCGAAGGTAATCGAATAGGCAGTGCATTTACAGCAGACACTGGAGAACCTCTCATTTTAGCTGAGGAGCTGCATAAAGTCAAACGGGTTGGTAACATAAAAAAGAGCAAAAGGAACGGTCTCATCTGAATTAAATTGCTAAAGAAGCGTAGGAAGATGAAGAGGAGATGGGACCAACAACAGTGGAGTATTTCTACTCTGCAAGCTCATTATCAGATGCTGGAAGAGGACTTCCAGACATTCTAATGTCAAAAAATTAGCAAAATAGCGGAAGATTGCAAACATTTCAGATAAAGAAGACAGAATTAGCTTTCTATCAGTTGGTAATCAGGCGTTGAAAAAAGGGATAGCGCACCGACATAACTGAGCTGAAATGCAGTTCATGCGCAAGAAAGTTTACACCCAGTACATTCCATCAAATACGTGCGTCCTACCCCCTCCCCATCACCACCACAACCACCATTCCACCACAGAAAGAAGTGCTCTCACGGTCCTCATGGATGAAATTTTGCATTTCGTGCATCAAATGATCGAAGGGAAACTTCCAGGGAACGAGGATCTAACAATTGAAATGATTAGAACAGGTGTTTAGATGTTATGTAGGGTTCTAACGGAGAGGTTTACTTGCTACCAGGAAACAGAAAAGATACCACTAAGCTGGAGGGAGTCAAGAAACATCGTGCTGTTCTAGAAGGGCCAGAAGGAAGAACGATTGAACAATCGCTCATTCTGTCTGCTACCACAAGTCTACAGGCCATTTACTAAGATCATCGCGAACAGGATGTCAACATGTTTGGATGAACAGCGGCTAACAGAACAGGCAGGATTCCGAAAGAACCATGGCACAATGGATAACACCTTACCTTAAGGCAATTTTCGAACGTGAGAGGAACTTGTAGCTACCTCTATTCATAGCCTTGATGAATTGCGAGAGAGCGAGCGCTCGACTCAGTAGAGCACAACACGGTGTGGACTTCATTGGAAGAGCAGGGAACTAATACATGAATTTGCTAAAGGAAAAAGCTCTGGCTGCTTAACAAACAGAACTCTGTTCGACAATAACAGCCGATTTCCGAAGAGAAGGAACAATGGGTTGCCATATTCCTCAAATTCTTCACTACCATCTGGATGGTGTTTTTTCGTGGGTGAACTTAAAGGCTAAAATTGATATCATTGGTGACCAGCTTAGCCACTTAAGGTTCGCTGATGATGTGGTGCTGGTTGCGGAAAACTTCAATCAACTACAAGACATGTTGCAAGAGTTCAAGGAAATAGTTCAGAAGTCGAACTGGGAATTAATCGGCTGACCCCCAATCGTATACCCTGCTTAAAGCCCAAATACGATTAAACTGTGGGAAGTTCGAACTAGATAAATGCAGGTATTTTGACCAAGGAAGAAAGAGGGCCGGTGACAACAATTACGTTCTTCTCGGCAACATTAGAAAAGAAACTCGTGCCCACCTAATCAATTCTATCTATCTGCTGGAAATTTTGTCTGTTTATCAGACGTGGTCAGTTACTAAAGAAGAAGAACGCTGGCTGCGTGTCACCGAAAGAACTATGGAAAGAAGAATGTTACAGAGTTGACATCGCGACCATATCCCCACAGCGGACGGAAATGAGGGATGTAGCAGTGGAAAGCATAAGGAAGAAGACAGATGATCGGGCAGGTAGCTCCGAGATAGCCGGCGATTATAATCGACTGATTTCGTCGCGGAAGAATTAGGCCCATTGATCTACCACGAGTTAGAAGAGCATATCAGGAGCCGAAAAGGTCGCGTCTGGAGGGAGGCAACTTGAAACTGCACAAATCACCTCGTGTTGCTGAAAAACGCGATTTGTCGTCGATTATTGGTCGGTCCATGTGTGATCCAAGTTATTTAATGCAAAATATCTCACGACATCGGATTATGTAATTCATGTAATATTCTTCATATTACAGTAGCCCCATTTCCACGTTGGTGTAATCATCGGTCTGAACAGTACATAACATTTGTTAATGTCAATATTTGAAGCAAAAATGAAACATATTGTGGATTTTCCAATCTTCTAATCATCCGCCGCATAGTTATCAAAACTTTCCAAGAAATTTGCTTCCTCGGAAGAAGCCATGTCTGTGGCAAGAAAGTAAACTTCCAACTAACTATACACATTTGCTACTCAGTCAGAGACTATAAAGAGCTGGTGGACTCAGACAGGGAGTATTTCCCACTATTGCTTGGTGGACGAATTAACTCTCTATTAATGTTTAGTTTTTGTCCACTTACTATTCATAAATCCAATTTCGTATCCAGTATTCGAAACAAACCCGGAATAGGTTTGAAGGCATTCTCTTTAGAAATGAAGACCTCATTTAAATCCAAAATGATTGGCTAACGTGGAAATGGTAATCAGGTGACCTCTTTATGTTTTCGAAGCAAATGTGTCTAGATGAAGGACGCTCTGACTAAAACGTCAGATGAAAACGTGGAATCCTCTTTCCGCATTTATATGCAGCAAAAATATGAGGGAATTTTTGTGATAATTCGATTTTCTTGTTAAATGGAAAGTGGCTATTCATGAAAGTGAGGAATGGATGACATCAGGAAATAGAAAAAAACTTTTCAGAAATGTGACGAGCAAAATTCGTCCAGAATGATATGATGATGTCATCATTCCTATGATCAGAGGATGACAACTGTGAGTGTCGCATGTAGTGACGCTGCATGATTGTTTACACTGGGGCGACGCAATTTTATGTTGATAGAAACTGTCGCTGCTGCATGGGACAAAAGCAACTTACAGTAAATGTCAGATGCGGATATTCTGACTCTGATATATTTCTTCATTCATTCATTCATTTTCAATATCCGCTGTATTTTGGGTTACGAGGGCAGAAATTTCAAGAGGTCCTTCCAATACTGCCGGTCTGGTTACTTTCTGAAGCTGAAATCTAAAGCGCGACAATACGTTTATCACTAGTCATCTGGTACGCATTCTTTA